CTTCCTGCCAAAGGCTTTGTTCCCGTGCCTCACTGGGCCTTGAGTGGTCTTCTATCAGGTGAGAATTATTAGTTTCAACTAGTGATTACTAACACATGGTGGGAGAGCTCCTTTTGATGCTATAAAACACCCCCAAAGTACAGTATAGTTGCAATTATTAAGAGTAGAAAAAAGGTCATTTTTCTCAGTCTTTCAGTGAAGAACTGGTAGCCACTTAGAGGAACAGAAAACCTAGTATCACCAAAATAGGACTAGAGCCCATTGCCTTAGTGTCCTCCTGGGCTTCTTGGCTTCTGGACTTTGCCATCTCATCTGCCTTACCTGTCAGCAGCCAAGGTGGCCTTGCCATAGGGTTGCATGGTCCCTCACAACTCCTCCCCCTCCACCCCAACACAGTCTTGTGCGTGCATAGTCTAGATGCCCAGCCCTCCCTGCCAGGTGTCCAGGCCCTCCTCACCTCTGTCTAGACTTCTCACATTCCACTCCTCACGAGTGCTTACCCTCACCTCGCTCTGTGTTCATGTGGTTTTGTGATTTTTGCTTTGTTGCTGTTTTCATCCTGCTACCCCATGTGGCACTACTTGTTAGTAGTACTTGTTAACACCTTCCTTCACTCAAAAACTTTGAATTTGAACACATAACACATGCAGCCAGGCTGCAGAGCTCAACAAAATGGGGCTTGTAAGTCAGCACAGGAAAACAAATGAGCCCAGTCTTCCCTGATGGGGGATGGGGGAAGGGGGAGCCAAGCAGGGCAGTACCCAAATTCCTGCCCTCGAATCCCAAGGGAGTTGGCGGGGATGGGGTGCTGTACAGTTCTTTGCATACAGTGCCTGCTCCTTCAAGATGATGCTGAGTTGAGTTGAATAAAGAGAGACTTCAGACAGGGAGAAGGGTAAAGGGGCTAGAGGGGACCCTAGAGGAGAACTCCTCTGAAGGTATGGCTGGCCTTAGGAGCGATGTTGGAAGGGGATAATCCTGGGCCTCCCCTAGTTTAAACATCTAGCTCTACCAGGCTCCTTGGAAGCAAGGACAAGTGAGGGGAGGTAGATTTGGCAGACTTGCTGTTGAGCTATAAGGTTAGTCCAAATAAGAAAGAAAGGTCTTCATCTGCCTTTGTCATTGGAGGAAGTCTGAAGGGAACATAGACACCTTTTTTCACATTGGATCATTTAGTGAGAATTTTGGTTTCTTTAAAAACACAGAAATGTTAATATTTTCATTTTAATCCTAAGGTGTAGGGGTATGGGGCTGCTCGTGTACTAGCAGAGGCGTGGTTTTGCCAGCTGCAGATAATTTCTTGTGGGACATTTGGAACTCTGGGAATTTTTAGGAGGGTAGAAAAATGCTTGGGTCCTGGGAGAGGCGGGTCAGTGGTTGTTGGTTGTTAGGGAGGTTGGATTCAGCTAGAAGTTGTGCTCAAAGACACAAGAAATTAGATTCAGAGCTGTGTATCTCTCTCCCCTCTATCCTTCTTTCTCTCCTAGCTGGTGATGGGGGTAGAGCCAAGGAGGAGAGCAATAACGAGGGGGAGAACTCATGAAGTAGCTGAGACCGGCCCCGGGTCCCTCTGGGGCAGAAGGAGGAGGACCGCCACAGTTCAGTTTGTTGTTCAAGGGAGAGTCTTATTAGAGCTGCTTCCATCACTCTGAAAAGGCCAAGCGTTAGGGAACCTTGCTTGCACTCTTGGGATAATTGTGAGACTTGGGTATGGGCAGGAAAGCCACTGTCAGCACGGCCCTGGCCTCGTGTTTTGCCAGGTGGGTCTTTCCTGATCTTCTACTTCAGCAGGCTCTTGTTCCAGCAAAGGGCTGGAAAATAGCTCCTTCTGTACACTGCTTGGTTCCAGAGAGACCATTCTGGTTTCTTAAGTAAATATTAGTCCACCTACTTCATGATCCTATTTGGTCTAAGCTTTCTCACCTGAAAAGAAGAAACCAGGCCTCGTGGTTACAAAGCTCACTGTTTACCTATGAACACATGTATTGAGAGCTGTTTGGTGCCAAGTGGGAGACTGGGCTACATGTTCCCTGAAGGAACCTTACACCCCAAACGAGTACCCTTCCTTTACAGAGATCTCTAGTAAGGTCTTTACTAGCCTTGCCATCTTGCAGAAGTACACAGAGCACTGTGTAGACCCAGAAGTGACAGTGGTTAATTACAGAAGAGGAAGACAGCCACCCAAAAGAGATGCTAGAATTATAATGGCCTGCACAGGTTGTTGGTGGTGACTGTGAGACCCTAAGGATGCATTCAAGGCGTTGATGTTCCCGGGGTTCCCTAAATTGTTCTGGAAGAAATGCGTGGTTATTGTGCGGAGGCAGGAGCAGGAGTCCCATCTTGTATGCACTCAATCTCTCTGTTTCTTTTCTCTTAAATTTTATTTTGACATTTCCATCTAACCATCCAAATGATTGACAGATGTTTCTGCTTTGAAACAAGTCTCAAGTCTCACTTAGTCAGGCATGATGGTACATGCTTTTTGTCCAGAGTTAATTGGATCTCTATGAGTTTCTGTCTAGCCAAGGCTACAAAGCAAGACAGTGTGTCTCAATCCTCCAACCTACTCTCCAAAAAAAAAAAAAGGGAGGCTGGGACGCGGGAAGAAAGAAGTCCCAGTTGCCTGGGAAACTTTGCTTGTGTAGAAGAGCTTATACCTTAGTAAAACAGTGTGCAAAAAAAATTGAGTGTCCTTGTCACCATTTCTACATATACAACTGAGAGTGAACAGCTGCTGAAGGGCAGAATGAAGTTAACTACTTGTGTCGTTAGGCGTTTATTTTTAGTGGTCTCCCATTTATGAAAACGACAACCTTCATGATCATTGGAGCACTATCGTGAGGGAGATGACAGGAGGATGTGCTGTCGGGGCAATGGAGTGTTTGTCACTGGTCATCTACATCACAGAGGAAGCTGAGTCACGGTGACCTGTTTCTTAGTGGGTGGCAATTGGGTTCAGCAACTTTTCTGTTAGGATTCAGAGTAGGTACTTGAGGCTTGTATGTTGATGCAGCCCCCACCTCAGCTGGGCAGCTCTCTTCCACCAGGGGCAGTCTGTAGGGTCAGCTTCAGTGTAACTGCTGGAGCACCGGTGACAAACGTGTGAATCCACTCAATGGAAGAAAGCCCGCCCCTGGAGGTTGTTGCTCTTCTGTTGTGGGATAGTAGCTATTTATTGGGTTTGATTTGTAGTTGAATAGAATTCTAAGGTTCTAGAATTTGCTAGGCACAGGTCAGTACCTAGACATTCCTGGTCTTCAGTTTCCTACTGTCCTGCTTAGTGCTTCAGAAGGTGAACCTCCATCTTTTAATGCCTGTATGTTGTTCAGGCAGCACTGAACTGTCACTTTCCTCTGGAGAGCAAGCAGAGGATTGCTCAGCTAGAGCCCTTGTGTCACAACAGAGAAAGTTACTTTGTGTCTGTTACAACTTTGTTCCCCAGCACTGTGTACCTGCTGTAGACAGTGCTTTAATTTGTTACTCTGTTCCTTTAGATAGGCATGTGGCACACACTTAGCTACCTGTCTGTCTTGAATCTTACGCTAGTTTGGAGCAGAGCTGGACTGTGTATGATGAGCCTAAGTAACATTTCACTCTACGGTTAGCTTTCCTGCTTTCATGGCTATGCTCTGTGCCAACCATATCTTCTTTCTGATGAGGAAGGAGGAGGATTCGAGTTTAAGTTAGTCTAACAAAGCCATTGAAACCCAGAGCTTTCAAAAGACCACGGGCTGGGGCTGCACATGGCCATTTCCTCAACTGTAGAGTGACTGCTCCATACACCTTCCTTTCTGTGCTTTCTGTCTCCGGGAAGGAGCTGAGCCATCAGATTCTCAGTGAGAATTCTGGATGGTGTTGCAACAAGTTAGCAGCTGAGATGAACAGAGGCGCTCTGTTCTCTGTCCTTTAGCCTGTGGTGGATGGCTGGCCAATACTGATTCTTAGTTACTTCTCTTTTTTGTTTGTTTAAAGCTTTTCTTTATTTTTATTTTATTTTTTATCTAACCAAGCATGGTGGTTCCACACCTTCAATCCCAGCACCCTGGAGGTAGAGATAGGTGGATCTCTGTGAGTTCAAGGATGATAGCCTGGTCTACAAAGAGAGTTCCAAGACAGCCAGGGCTACACAGAGAAACCTTGTCTCAAAAACTAATAGTAGTAGTAGTAGTTGTTGTTGTTGTTAAAGTTAGCATACAAAGTAATGGTTTCCTTACAGCATTTTCATGCTTATTTCACTATCTTTGTTCTGTTTCATTCCTAGTTCTTAGTTATTTTATCTCCAGAGGTCAGGGTTGTAACTGTTAGGAAGGAAGTTAGTTACCCATCACTTTCCACTGCAGTAATGTCTTTCCAAGAGACTACTTGTGCATGGCCAGTGAGCTATGCAGGATGTTCAACATGAGACCCTCCCCAAAGCCCTCTAGCTCTGATACCAACAACCCCGGCAGGGACAGTGCTTCACAGGTGAGAACATAGTGGCTTGTGGTAGGAAATACCTTTGAACACACTGTCCAATATCTCTACTCTTTGCCCCATCACTCACAAAGAGAGCAGAACTCAGAGCTCTTGTCCTAGAAGGCAAGCCATTTCAGTTCAGTGCTCCCGGATTTAATTTAATGGACTGTTTGCCCAGTGGTCTCACAGTCAGGGAGACTTAGGCTCTAGCCCTACCTCCAGTTGCTGTACTGCTGTCTGACTTGCCTGCTCTTGGGCAAGGCATTGCTCTGTCTGGTCTCTTCATTCTCACCTTTATGTGAAGATTTAGGGAAGGCATTCTTGCTTTACAGTGGTGAGGGCAGAGAGGTCAGCCCTTAAGGGAAGAGGTGCTGAGGCAGTGTCTATGTGTGTGTGCGCGCGTGCATGTGTGTGTGTGTGTCTGTGTGTCTGTGCGTGGGGGGAGTGCACATACAAACTCTCTTGGTTCACTTTGGGAGGGTTCACTTGTCACATGTCCTTATTGCTGAGGTAACACACCATATTTCTGCTCCCTTCCCTTTCAGATGCCAGTATGGACAGAATAGCTGATGATGCTTATCCCCACCCATCACTTCCGAGACATTGAGCGGAAACCAGAATACCTCCAACCAGAGAAGTGTGCCCCACCTCCCTTCCCTGGTCCCTCAGGAACCATGTGGTTTATCCGCGATGGCTGTGGCATTGCCTGTGCCATTGTCACCTGGTTTCTGGTCCTCTATGCGGAGTTTGTAGTCCTCTTTGTCATGCTGATTCCATCCCGAGACTACGCTTACAGCATCATCAACGGAATTGTGTTCAACCTGCTGGCCTTCTTGGCCCTGGCCTCCCACTGCCGGGCCATGCTGACGGACCCCGTGAGTATGTCTGGGCTCCTTTTGACCAGCCCACATTCTCCCCTTCAGGCCCTGGCATGGCCATAGCCTGCATGCTCACCATGGATCTTGGGAATGTGAAAAAAGGATGGCCAGGGCTGGGTGGAAAAGTTTGCTGCTTCTCATTGGAACTTTAGGGAGGAAGGGTCAGTACCTATATCAGAGTGCATGGGGGCAGGTTGAATGGTGCTGGCTACACACTGCTGTGTGTGTTTGATACGCCTGCTATCAAGAGGAAAGCCAGCCTCTGTTTGAAGATGTATTCCGATAACCTTAGAGACTGGGCCAGATGTTCAGAGCAGAAAGCAAGCTGGAGGAGGCTAGTGGAGACCTGGGCTGGTTTGATGCTATAGCAGGCCACATCCAGTTTCAGGATATGGATGGATTTAGTTTTCACTTAGCTTACACAAGAATCCTTTTTTAAGGTTTGGTGGGGGTGGCACACACCTTTTGCCCCAGGGAGGCAGAAGCAGGTAGAGGCCAGCCAGGGCTACATAATGAGACACCTTGTTGTCAGGGGGAAAAAGATTTTTCTTTTCCTGAAAAGCTGGCCAGGCTTGTTTGGCACTACAACAGACACCTCTGAGTATCTGTGGGTAAAACTATTGTCTTGTTCAGTGAATGACTTAGATAAATATATCAACTGAGGCAAAGGCCACTGAATATTTCTTATATCCTGAATCAAGCCCTTCTGACTTTTCATTATATGGAAAATACCCATGCAGGTAACTTGGTGAACCCTCCCTGTGGATTAACTGTTTTGGTATGGGGGTGATAGCCATTAAATTGAGAACGTTCAGCTAATGGCTACCACAGTTTCTGTGAGCCTCAGGAAAGTACAACACAGACCACAGGTCTGAGCCAGTTTCCTTCTTGAAGGTGGATTGTTAAGGCAGTTTCCTGGCTCGGTTACCAGTGTGGCTGGTCCAGCTAGAATTACCTGGGACCTGGGACCCACTGTTGATGTTACCTCCTGGAGAGTGGACCATTCACCACCTAAGGGAGTGAAGAGCTAGTATATTCTTGAAAGTGCCCCATACACAAGGGTATAAACGAGTTAAAACAAACTAAAGATTTATTCAGAAATTTGTGTGATGCCCTTGCTATTGGAGACAGTGAAGGAAATTATATTCTTCTCTTCAGCTCACAGTTCAGTACCGACTCTCCCATCAAGATGCCTCTGTTGGAAAGACAGGTGAGGACAGCCCTGCCAGAGGAAGTGTAGTTTGCTATGGACAAGCAGGGAGGGGTGTCAGTCCAGGGTTGGTGCTGAGAGGTGGAGAGCTGAGGGCAAGGAGAACCCCGCACACAGGAAGCAGGCAGTGGCTCCTCTCCACAGCTCGTGGTTGGGGTGGGAAGACCAGGGCATGTGGATTTACCTTTGGAGTCCCTGTGGTTATGGAAGAACAAAGAAGAGGAAAGAGTCTAGAGCCCCAATTTATTTATTTATTTATTTATTTATTTATTTATGAGACAGGTTCTCGGTGTGTAGCTCTGGAACTCAATGTGTAGAACAGGTTGGTCTCATACTCAGAGATCTGCCTGCCTCTGCCTCCTAAAAGCACTGGGATTAAAGATGTGTGCCGCCAAGTCTGGCAGTAAGAATTTTTAACTAAAGAGTGACAAGACCAGAGTATCATTGGACAAGGATGTCTGTAGCAACAGTGCAAGGCCCTACTGGGCACTGCTGGGTGGATGAACAGTTGTATTGACTGGATGCCAGCCCTGTAAGAGGTTCTTTCCTAAGCAGCAGGTAAAGCTGAGAATAAGGCAGATGGAACCTCTGCCCTCTGGAATCTCACATTCCAGGAATTAATGAGATGATAATGGTAGAATGCTGAGTGCTGGAAGAGCAATGAGAGAGTATAGAAGGCTTCAAAGTTACCCCACCGGCTCAGGGTAATTCCAGAAGGCCTCTCCACAGTCATACCTTTGGAGCTGACCTGAATGGGCTGAAGCTGCAGGCCAGGGCATGGGAAGATTTCTAGATTCAGGCAGAAGAGAAAGGAGGTTCAAAGGCCTGAGCTTGGAGCTTGAGACTAAAACATGGTGAAACAGGCCACAGAGGCAGGATCTTACTAGCCCTTGTAGGGTCCTCAACCTTGGGAAACAAGTGTAAGGACATTGCACTTGCAGTGAGGTTCTGGTGGGACCTGCAGAAGGACAAGACTAAAGCATGACACTAGCTTGGGTCATGCTAAGAGGACAAAAGCTGATGAATTTGGAGCTTATTTTAAGCCACAGGTTCTGTTGCTGTTTTTGTTGTTGTTTCAGGACAGGACTGACAGGGTTTCTCTGTGTAAGTCCTGGAACTCTCTTTGTAGACCTCATAAAGATCTGTCTGCCTCTGCCTCCCAAGTGCTGGGATTAAAGGCATTCACCACCACACCTGGCTAAGCCACTGATTCTTAAGTCTGGCTACATAGTAAAAGTAATCTGTGGAGGTGCCTGCCCCCTGCCCTCAGGGGTTCTAGTCTAGTCGTTGGAGGGGCAGAGCTCTAGGTATTAACACACTTGAAAATGTTCCTGGAGCCCTTGAATTCAGCCAGGTCTGAGGAAAACTGACAAATGAAGATTGATCACAAAGAAAACCTTCAGTCTGACCAGGAACAACTGTGGATGCTGGAGCCACTTGCTGCATGAGAAAGGCTAGTAAAGAGTAGAGTTAGGAAGCCAAACCAAGCTTCTCTGTGGTCAAACTGCTGTGTGTTAGGTGCAGGCAAAGGGTTATGTGAGCAGTGGAAGCCAGGAAGAACTGAGTGGTGCTAGATGGACTCATTGTATAGACTTAGAAGGTGGGAGCTGGGCACCACCAGGAAGAGCCTGCTGGCACTTGGGCTGCTCCCACAAGTTGTGCTCTCCTACTTACTGCAGGGACCTCTGCAGGAGCCCTTGCAGCAGAACCTGGGTTTCTCCTTGCTTAGCTTCCAATCCTAGGTAGTAATTTTAGGTTTCTTTCCTGTTGTAATAAAATGCTCTGACAAAAGCAACTTGGGGAGTTTCTTTTAGCTCACAGTTCAGGTTACAGTCTGTCATGCAAGGAAGAATGCAGCAGATTCTTGAAGTAGCCATCCACAGTCAAAAGCAGAGAGCAGTAAAGGAATGCAGGCATGCTTGTGCTTGCTGGGCTTACTTTCTCACTCGTATACAGTGCAAGACCCCAACCCAGGGAATGATGCTGCCTGCTTTGGGCTAGCTCTTCCCCATCAGTGAATGTAACCGAAACAGTCATCTCTCCCTTCCCCCTGAGATGTGCTCAAAGGTCAACCAGATATAGACCACATTGAGACTCTCTTCCAGGTAATTCTAGACTGTGGCACTTAAAAGTAACCACCACAGTAAATGAGAGCCACAGTCCTGAGCACCAAGTAGCTACCCATGGATGTAAGTGAAGAATCTGTTAAAAAAAAACTACTGTTAATGAGGGAAGCATGTCACAGCATGTCCTGTGGATGAGCCCATTACAGGGTCTTCATGCCTCTGCCAGAAGCACATGATGACATATGCAGACCCGTATGTAAAACAGTAAGTACATCTATACAAAGGGTCACCAGCAAGGTACCACAGAGTCAGGAGTCCAGATCTCGGCCAAACACACATCAACTAGAGGCTCCTCCTTCATCAGCAAGTGGAATCTGTTTCTAGCTTGGAATCACTGTGTGTTATAGGCAAATTCCCAGTCGAGAAGAGATGTCTTATGTATCAGGAGTTCTTACTGTCTATAATTTTGGGAAAACAGCTTACACCCTGAGGTTATAAATAATATTTGGATTATATGCCTTTTTGGTTAGCACTGAGAAAGATGGGGAGAAAAGAGAAAGGGAAACAGAAAAGGTATCATGGTCTCCCAACAGATAATCACTGTACCACCTCCAACTGGATCGCCTCATTCCAGACGTAACTCTAGAAGAATTCAGCCATGATGGCTTTCTGAACCACTAGCAGTTAGTTGTGGACTCGAGCACAGCTAGGGGAAGAGAGAACTTATTCCCAATGTGTGTTACGGAACACAGAAATGATGCCATTTGAAACTGGAGAAGAAAAAGGCCTGTCAACAAGAGAGAGACAGAGACAGAGGCGGGGGAGGGGGGACCAAGAGGCACACAGACACCTCACTCAGCCTCTGGGCTGGATGTGCATAGTGAGAACAGGCTCTGCTGGAGTTTGGTCGTGCTGGGTGCTGTTCTTGCCCACTCTGAGTTGTGTACTCTCACCCACGGCACTTTTCTATGTTCTGGAGATCTGGATTGGTTCCACAGGCACTTATCCTGTGGTTGTTTCCTCAGCTGCAGAATGTATCATTGGGATAGATACTAAAGTTGGCAGAATTCCCACATTGGTTCGAACCTGTGGAGTAAAGGATGTTATGATTGAAAAGGACAAATGGAAACCATTGGAGTTGCCTCAGCCAGGGAAAATAGAAAACCAAAACCAGTATCACATCCCTGGAGGAAGTGCAGAAATTAGTGCCACCATCAAGGACATGAAAGATACAGAAAGATCCAGATACCACCACTTTTTCCTTTAACTGTCCTATTTGGCTGTACAAACGAGATTATAGAGAATAACAGTTGACTGTCACAAACTTAATCAAGCAGTGACTCCATTGCAGCGGCTATGGTGTCCTTACTTGAGCCAGTTAATGTCTCCTGGTGTTGGTCTGCAGCTCTTGATTTAGCACATGCCTTCTCCCCACTACTTGCCTATAAGGACCACCAGAAGCAATTTCTTTCAGTTGGCAGGACCAGTGGTATAGCAGTCTACCTTTATAGTTTTAACTTTCATCCCTGTGTTACACTCAAAGGGAGCTGGATCATCTGTCTCTTCCACAGGGTATATATAGCACACTGATCCAAAATATTGATGACATGCTGATTAGACCTGTGAGGAGGAGGTAACAAGCACTGTGGACTTGTTATTAACACATAGAAACATCAGAGGATAGGAAATAAATCCAAAATTCAGGGGCCTTCTACCTCAGT